CATCATCGGAGATATTCTCGCGCGAAGTGCATTGAGCCCACGTGCATATCACCCGTCCCCTCTCACACGTACGCGCGCACGCACACGGATATCGAGGATCTCAACACACTCGCGGCGCCGCGCTTTTTTCTCCCGCTGCACGTGTTTTTATTTATGCTACTTGTATCTGTCGTATTATCGCTTGTTCCACCGGTCGATCATAAACACCACACTCACCTTGCGAACAAAACATATCTGCCCTCTAGGTCAACGAAGCCTTAGCGTCTTTAACTTTTTGGAAATTCACCGACTACGCCGCGCTCTTCGTTTCTTCTTTCCTTCTGTTTTGTCCATCCATTCGTCGTGCCGAAAAACAATGACTTTTAAGAATCTAACTATTGCTGTTCCTCGAATCGGTCAATGTGTTTCTGTATATCACCAGCTCCCATTGCTATTCCGTTGTCATTGATGCAAAAGTCTTGAAACTTTATTACTAAGATTTTGGACCTCTTCTTTACCCTCTCGCTGGATGGATGGATGGATGGATGGATACGGAGCTTCAAAAGGCCAGTTAAAACTTTCTTCGCCTATAAACTGTCTGCATACAAAAGCGCTTTCTCGCGAAAAGGAATAATATCTAACTCTCTGCACATTCCGGCTTCATCTCACACTTTATTCGATAATGGCGGCAAATATTCGAAAGCCCACAAGTCTTTGTTTAGCTGTTACTTGGCAAATTACCGCCAATTTTGCGAGCTATTCGCTAAATTGCCCGTAGCGCCAGTCCGACGTTAAAGAGGAAAACCGACGACGGCCGCGTTGCACTAAGTGTCCACTTTCGCCCAATTTCACTCGCTATCTCGCTCTGTCCCTCTGTCTGTCTATATCACACGCACGCACGCACGCACGCATTCTCTCTCTCTCTTATCGACTTATTCCAAGCACGCGCGCGTGGCGGGGGGCAAAAATGCGCACTCGGTACGCACTCGTCCCTCACCGCCCTTATTCCCCCCACCATGGAACAGCCTACGACCGCGGGCCCCATCTCGATTATCTCTCCCCTCCCGTGACTCCCCACACCCCTCCAACGCCGGCAGCTTCGGTGCATAGCCGCCGTAGCCGTCACCGCTGCTGCCACCGCCGCCGCCGCCGCCGCCGCCGCCGCCGCTACCGCCGCTGCCGCTGCCGCTGACGCTGCCGTCGTCCTCGTACGTGGGCAGGACTGCGTGAGTGCGTGTGCGTGGGGCCCCCGGACGCGTTTTTCTTCTCCCTCTCGAGCGCAGAATCGCGCGGCACGTCGTACGGTGAAGAAGGTTGCGGAGGAGCGTAAGTTAAAGCTCGAGCGCGCACGTGATAGCGAATGCCCGCGCGGTTCTTGGTGCTGTGATTGGTGTGGTGGTACGTGAACGAGGTCCGGAACAAAGACTTCGCTCATTTTTGCACGGCCTGTCGGTGGTGCGGGAACACGGCACAGGACTGGATATATCGGCTCGCTGCCGGGAGGGAAAATTCGGGTGGTAGCGTCTGGGTGGAGGAGGTATTGGAGGAGGTCAGCAGTATAAGCGGCCCGTACCCGGGGAGGTGAGGCCGGCGCGTGATGCGGTAGATTGGTCCGTGTCCGCGGGAATCGCGGGGCCTGGATGGTGCGCGGGCCCGTCGTCTGGATGCCAGCTCTCGAGGGTGCCATCGGCAGGAAGCGCGCCGGCGAGCGCGTCAGGAAGATGCGGATGCGCCTCGTCAGCCACTCCAAGGAATCCTACAGCCTCCTGTCGAAAAAGAGGTAGGCCACGCGAAGGGTGTCCGCGTAAGGGTGGCTAGCGACCGGGGCCCTCTCCGGTATAGAGGACACCTCGGGCTTGCGCACGTACGCCTCCGATGCGCTCCATTAGTTTTAAGGTAATCGATATGTTAGGAGCGCAGGTGCGCACACCTCGTCCGAGTCGCGGCTATTACCTCGAGCCGTACATCCGACTGTCAATTAGCCTTCTCTTTATTACTACCATATAGCTAAGGATAATTGCGGCTGCGGATAGATGCTGAAGATTGTTTAACTTTTTTATATAATTGATGGAGAAAAAAAATGCAGTTGGACGATTGTTTTGCCTTTCGAGAGTCGGATAATGAAAATAAGATTGGCTTTAAGTAAGTAAATCAAATAAGGTAGAATTCATCCTAATCTCCCGAGGATACTTTCATTCAATAACAAATGACTGCCTCGCAGTCGAGAATTCATTCCATTCGGTGAGAGCCGGATAGATAGATAGTAAGAGAGAGAGAGAGAGAGAGAGAGAGAGAGAGAGAGAAAGAGAGAAAGAGAGAAAGAGAGAAAAAGCAGTGATGCGTGCGTGCTCGCGCGCGTTTGTGTAATCACGCGAGAGCACGAGTGCGAGGGAGAAGAGGAGGAGGAAAGAAGCAGATAGAGAGAGAGAGAGAGAGAGAGAGAGAGAGAGAGAGAGAGATGATGTTTTTATTCTAGTTACATTCCCTTGCACTGAATAATATACTTAAAACGGTAATGCTAGAATTTTTGCCTCGGCCCTGAAGAATTCGAAAAAGCGCAGACGCAAGATTAAAATGATACCCGCGCTCTCCGCTGCGCGCGCGCGAGCTTAAGAAAATATGAAATAATATTCGTAATTTCTATTATTCTTAACGGTCGTCACATACACGCTCGACGTCATCAGCAAAAATGCCACGTAAGACAAGACTGTTTCGATGTAATTCTATAGCAGAACTTCCGTCTTGATTACAGCAGTTACAGACCACACCTTTCATTAGAAATTGTGCCTCTTGGATTATCGCGCACCTCTCCAAGTCGCGCGGTTTCTAAGGATTCGCGACGATAAAAGCACGTTTCCAGGCAAATAACGCTTGTGCAATCGACGCGAAATGTTTCTTAACCGCGAGAAATGCGCCTGCCTTTTCGATTCGCGGAAACGCGGCACGTTGTCATAGATTTGCGTGGGCGTAATTGCGAGCTTCGCTGAGCGCGCAAAATCCTGCGACATTTCCCTCGTTTCCGACCAAATCGGTGGTAATCGACGCGAATGTAAATCGTACATCATTTTTGTTTTTGTTTTTGTTTTTATTTTTGTTCCATTAATTAATTGGCCCATTCGATTGGCTTCCACCAAATCGACGACCAAACGTCGCAGCGAATGACAAACATTCGGCAATCCGCCTATGATCGACGCTTGCCTCGGTTTTTCATTTCACCGTGAAATTTCCCGGCCGAGTGCTTAATAAAACGCCGAGGGAGGAGGACACGAGCGTAAGTGAAAATAGCCTCATTAGTCTTTAAAACGCACTTGCTTTCATGAAAATTGAAAACGATCATTCACGATGGTTAGAGCTGTTAGCCCACCTATTTAACCATATACTTTTTGTCGACTACCTGCGCGCATCGTGCAACCACGTACCATAATGCGCACCCATCCAATGCTCCCCATACTCCCAGGTCTGTCATTACCATTACCAGAATAAATAATGCGACATTATATTGTGCTATTCAATTGAAGAAAGGCCTTATCCTTTCATTAGCTATCCGCGCTTCTTCGGTAAATGCGAAAATTATACTTAAAAGATCGACAGCATCCTTAAATCTTTAAAGCGTAAAGGACAGACTCGCCCTATCTTCAGTAATATTATTCATGATAATGGGAAATTTGTCCCTGTCGGCCGAGGCGCCCAATGAGCCGACCACTGACGATTGTCCTTACGAGCAAATCGAAGGAAGATGAAAGCAGTAAGTAGTAGCAGCGGTCGTCTCCTCCCATAAAATAGTACGTTACTCACGGTCTATTCGCTCCCGTGGCCCATCCAGTTTTTGTGAATTACTTAGCGTCTCGCGGGACAAAAGCGTCCGCGGAAATTCAAGGAGATATTCGTTCGTCACCCTTTCGCCTCCAAAAGTACCGCGCGAACGAAAAAGAAATAAATGCAAACGACCTCGACGGAATTCTCCTCCTCCCATTCGGCAGGTGAAAGAAAGACGCTGGCGCAAAGGAGCGCAAGACGGGCGAGAACCATCCGGTAATCGGATCGAAAAGCCGCCGTGTGAAAGCGAGCGAGTCTAAGTGAAAGAGGCCCAGCTATGCAAATCGTTTTCCGTTCACGCCCCCCGAAATAAACGACCCAACGGGCCTCATTTTCACCCTTTCGCGGCTCCACGATCGCGTCGTGAGGATGAGATTGAAGCGAACTGCTGGGACTCGGACTGGGATTATTGGGTTGGGGTAACGGGAGGGAGAGATCCAGGCAATCGAGATGGGGTGTGGCGGGTCGCGATGTCGGGGAAAATGATTTCCCGTGCGTGCGAGGAGGAGAGAAAAGGAGGTGAAAATTTTGTGAAGCCCCTCGATCGTTCGTCTCGTGCAGAGAGAACACGGGGAAATCGAATTCTCACGTAGTCCTTTCATTTGATAGGCGGGGGGGTGGGGGGTGATGGTAACGACCTCGACTGCTTTCCCTGCGAGTTTTCTTTCACTGCAACACGGGGTGGCAGACACGTCTATTTTACGATGTAATCAGTTTTAAAGATTCTTCGAGGTTGACGGGGATCGCGCTGTTAGCGGAAGGGCGCGGAAATTGAATTTGGAATCATCCTGACAAGTGGATTTTTCTCCTTGCTCGTTGTCCCTTCAGCCGTCGATCTCCCGGTTAATCAAGGAAAGGCTGGTACGGAGAAAAGAAAGCTACCTGAACCGCGCACGCTCCGTTAATCCTTGCAACTCGTAAAGTTGGCATTAGCGCGAGCAGAGACACTTTTCCGGAGTTATGCCCCATCGGCGCGTGGATGTAGGGTAAATTTTCCCAGGACACGCCGTTATAAACTCGTAACTTTCTTCGTTTATCGGCTTGATGGGGCGACCGTTGAAGGTCCGAAATCTCTGTTACTAATGTCCCCAGCCCATATTATTCCTAAAATGCAGCGCAAAGTATTATTAACGATGCTGTTAAGCAATAACAAAAAAATAAATAAATAAATAAATAAAAAAAAATTAATAAATAAATAAAAAGAAAGAAAAGAAAAGAAAAGAAAAGAGACAAAGAGAAATACGCAAGGATCCTTGTATATACCGATTCAACGACTAATGCATTTTATGTCATTGCTATCGTACATTAAGGATTGAAATAAACAAAGAATAAAGCAGAATTAATGTCCCGCGCGCCAATATCTTGGCCAGTTGGTCGTACGTATTCCCGTCATCATTCATTAATCGCACACTTTCGCCGCATCACTACAACTTTTAAATAATCTTTATATATATTGTATATATATATATATATATATTTTTTTTTTTAAATTTCAATTCAAACATCCGCGTAAGGCACAATTCACTCTATAAATGTGCGATTCGGCGAAAGGCTCCGGGCTTCCTTTCATCAATGCATTTCATCGGCGGGCGAATGTGGACTTCCTGCTGTATTACGAGAAGAGCTCTCGAGTCAAGTGTTGGGCTTCCTCGTCCAACGAGCCGAAAGTTTCGAGAAGGCCGTCGTCGGGGTCGGTAACGCGATACGTCGGGGCTACTCGGCAACCTCCCGCGATCATACGAGATGCTTATCTTTTTTGCTCGTCGCGCCAGAAAAGCGAGCGGGCCGTTGACGAGCGCTGGCTGGCGACTATCTTTAGAAAGTCTCTCGCTCGGACGGTCGATCTCGCTTCAAAACAACAAGGACCTCTGTTGTGTACGGCGCCCAAGGAGATCGCTCGGTCGAAGCCAACATAAGAAGCCAATGACGAACGGAGATCGGCGATCGGTCATACCGGAACATGAGATGCGAACGCGCCGAGCAGTCGCCCGAATCTTCCTTAAATCGGCATCGGTGCACTACCTCGCCCTCTCCTCCTCTCACGTGCCCGCGACTTTTTAAAGCAAGGAGTTTCCCCCCGCTACCGGTGATCACCGGCGTCTCCACGGTCCTTCGTCCCGGCCAAGCTGCGCGCAAAGGTGAGAAAACTGGCCGCTCGTCGCCAGTGACGGAACAATGCCTTCGACAGAGGTAGCAGTTTGCCCGCCTCTCGAAGAGATCGATTCACGTGTTAATCGTGGCTGTGGCCAGTCGCGCGGCGGGTGCGGGACAGAGAAAGGAAGCACAGACCGCTGTTTACCCAACGCCGTCGGTAAACGATCCGGGGCCCGCCCACGCGACCCCATTGTTGAGCGTCGGAGGCCGCCTGACTTGGGCTCGTGGCAGCTGTCGGCAGTGGCGGCTTCGTCTTCTACTTGGCACCCTAGCCACGGGGCATCACGGGGGACGTTCGGTTGGCCCACCAAGACACTTTTCCAACTCCGGGAGATGATTTACGGGCCGATGGGCCAGCGTGGCAACGCTTCCGCCCGGTCGATTATCGTTTGTTAAGAAGGGACGCTCGGATCATCATTTGAAAACAAGACGACGAGAAAATGGTTTTACCGGGTGCGAATTGCCGAGGAGTTGGTACGCAAAGATCGACGAATCGATCGAGAATCGCGAGGCGAGACTGTGCGATGGCAGTTGCGTTATTTAATAGGGCATTAAATAACGATACGAGGAAGCGAGAAAAGATGCCTGAGCTGGAGGGACGACAGTGACAACCGACTCCATTCACTTAGACTACGTGTAATTTACCAGCCACTCGGGACGTAAACTAAACGAACCAATTCGTATTATTTTCGGCTCGGCCTTTTATACAAGTACGTCAACAAATAGTGTACACAGCTTCCTATCACCCTCCGCCCCCCCTCACCCTCACCCTCACCCTCACCCTCACCCATCCCACCCTCTCGCCACTCC